TGTCCTCCTCCCCCTCCCCCTCCCCTGCCGCGACCGGGGCTGGGGGCGCTGGTGCCGCTGCCTCGTGGCGCTCGCGGGGCAGCGCAGCGCAGATGGTCCCGGCACGGCGAGGTCCCTCGTCCTTTCCGTGCTCGGTATGTCCCCCCGTGAGGCGTGGCGCAACCCCGTCAGTGCACCGGGGGGCCGCTGCGACGACTGCCCCTGGCCGAGGCGGTCGGGGGAGCGACCCCCGTGGGAGAGGTGCCGGCCGTGAGGGTGAGGGCGCGGAGGGGAGGGGAGGACACGGAAGAGGGTTACGAGTGTGAAACTCCGGCACTGTCCGCGCGTGAAAAGGCCTGGTGACAAGCGGGGTGTGAGTGGCTGCCACGCCTGCCAGCGCTTTTCGGTGGAGACCCGGCGATGAGGTTTCCTGTCCCCTCGGCCGGCGGGATCCTCGCGGCTGGCGGTAGGTGGAGCTGTTGGCAAAGGACTGTGGCTCCTTCCTCCCGGCTGAAGGGCGACGGATCCACCCGGCGCCGGACAGGTCCCTGCAGGGCTCCCGGGGAGCAGGACGCCGAGGCCCAGGGATGGCCGTGGGGTGCCCGCGGTCCCAGGACAGCGGCGGATGCTGGGGTCGTCCGCCCAGAGCCCCGGGGCCTCACTCGGCTGCCGACTTGCAGCCGAACTCTGCCCGCGGCCCCTTCGGCGCTGCCCGCTCCTGTGCCTGCTCCTCCCCACCCCCAGCTCACCCGCTCGAGGGACATCCAGAGCAGGGGACTCCCCGAGGCTCAGGGGTCTGCTCTCTAGGACTGTGCTCACAAGCCCACGGGCCACGTGCTCCAGACTGAATGCATCTCTCGAGCCACGCAGGCTGCCAGCGAGAGCGTGGCACCGAGGACTTAGTGCCTGGCTCTGCTCGCAGCAGCGGGAGACCGGGGAGGTGCTGCAGCCCACCGCAGAGCCACTGGCCACAGCGAGAGTCCATCATGCGCTCAGCAGGCAGGATCCGGCCCCGAGTGCCTGGTGCGGTCGTGGCAGTCAGCAGGGGCACGAGTGTCCCAGCCCTGCCTGGGACCAGCCCCAGCAGTGCTTGAAGCCCCTCTCCTGGAGGCACTAGGAACTGCTGGGACCGTCCCCGCTGCAGCTCTGAGCACTGCCAGGCTCGCGTGAGGCTCCCAGCGGTTCCCCCTCGCTCTTATATGAAGCCTTCAAGGGATGAGCAATGAGAGATGTGGTTGATGCCACGGCCAGTCGTGGAGCAGGCTGGCGCACCCCCCGTGACCCTGGTGCAGGAGCTGGTATTGGCGCCCAATGCCCAATTCTGTACCTGACTGAAGCAGGGAGCAGGATGAGGCCATCACCGTAGATCAGCTCACCTGGGTCTCATTTTGGGCCAGCCACCACTCAACTGGGAACGAGCTGACAACAGCCAAAGGAGAGGCCTAGGGAAGGCGATGTGAGTATGGAAGAGAAGCAAAGACCCTGGGAGTTCAGCCAAGTCTGGGGATTTCCACCCCTTGCCCCTGGTCGGCGGGGCCTCTCGGCTGCCACCGCAGCCGGGGAAGAAGCGTGACGGCAGGGGCAGGGGATGCAGTGCCTGGGGCTGGCGCTCGGCTCTCGTGGAGCTGGCGAAAGTGGCTTTTCAACCAGCAGGATAGGAGCAACTTGCCCAAATGGCTCCTTTGCCAGCGTGCGGGCACGGAGCAGACGCCAGGGCTGCCCGCAGCCACGGAGTGAGACACCAGGACAGCCAAACCCCCGCAGCCGAGCAAGGGCGGCTGCGCGCTCCCGGCCCCTCAGGCCCCGGCAGAGGCTGCTCAAGTGGGATTTTCTTAAAGCCTCTCGCTGCAAAATAAATCCATTAAAGTAAACTGGGAAAACAAGCGGGCGAAGCGGCCTCCCGAGCGCCGAGCCCGGGCCCATTCTTGCGGGAGAGGCAGCGGTCGTGTTACAGGGCTGGGGGGCGGCTGGCAGATCTGGTTTCCTTTGATCTTGTCACAGAGCAGAGCCATTCTTCTCCCTGCCCCTCAGTCCCGGGGCGGCAGAAGGCTGCCGTTCCCATTGACGGCTCCCGGGGCCTCCCTGCGTCCTGCCTCTCGGGCTTTCTTTTTTTTTGTCTGGCCGGTAAGAAGTTAACACTTCCTCGACGTGTCTTTGTGCTCATCTAATCTCTGCTGTTTAACCTCTGACATCTCCCTCATTATCCGCGCCTGCCACCTTTCCCGCAGCCTGGCAGCGGTGACGACTCGCGCCGGCCCAAGCCCTGCGGCCACAGGCAGCTCGCATTCCTCGCCTCGCCTCCAGGCTCACCAAAGACAGACCCGCCGCGGTTCGGGCAGGGGTAGCCGGATGTGCCCGGAGACACTGGCTCCAGACAGAGGAGCTCCTTGCACTGCTGTGCTGAGAGGGAAGGAGCCCAGTGCTCTGCGTGGGGGGGCCTGGAGCCCATCCTGAGAGAGAGCCCCCTGCTCC